GGATGACGTCGATGCCGCGACTCCGTAGCTCTTTGCTACGAGCACTGGTCAGGGCGGACAGATCCAGCCCCCCCTCGACAGACAGAGGCCAACAGGGCGAAAGGGTGAGGAGGACGAGGAAGGAGGAGGAGGCAGAGGAGGAGGAGGAGGAATAAGACAAATAATAAGAACAATCATAATGATATTACCAATAATATGATCAATAATAATAAAAGAGGAAAAGGAGACGGCCGAAGGAGGAGGAAGAGGAGGGGGAGCGAGGGGCAGAGCAGGCGCACGGTAGCCAAAGACCATACAAAAAACGATGCCAGGGTCGAAACACGAACGTGGCGACGATCCCAGGTCACGGCGTAGGCGAATGCCAACAGGTAGCCCGTGTGAAAGTGCTGAACAACATGCAGATAGAAGAGAAGACGCAGAGGAACACGATGGTCACGACGAGGGGGAGGAAGTGCCTCAGAGGGTGGCGACACTATGCCAGAGCGGCGAGTCCCTGCCCGCCGCATTTGTCATGGCTTGTATCCAAGCGTCGCTCGCGACTGTCGCTCGCCCATGCCGGGTGGCATTGATGGCCAGGAACGTCGCGTGAAGACGCAGGGCCCGACGCGCCAACAGGGACAACTCGGACACACAATTCAGAAGAAGAAGAAGTCCTGGAGCCAGGCCGGGCCTCGGCTGGAGCCGAAGCCACTCGGAGTCGGCTCCAAGCCAGCCGCGCCATCACCGGACAGCTGGCGTAGTGCTGCATGGAGTCACGGCCTGCATGGCAGCCAAAGCGGCACTGCGAAGCGCGGAGGCCAGGAACAGTGCGGGTCCAACCGCCCAGCGTTGCCTTGAGCGTAGCTGCCCACATGCACGGAGGCACCACAGGACCAAGACGCCGGAGTACATGTTCAAGAAGCTGGACACGACGGCCAGCAAGAACGGGAAGCCACCGCTGATCCAACCGACGGCGCAACTGACAATGAATATCAGAAACGGCTGGTCCCCTCAGGAGCTGGCTGCATCTTGCGGGCATCTTGCGGATAGCGTCCTCCCAGGCCAGCCCACCCCTGGTGGGGCCGAGAAGGAAGCCGAGGTACTTCGCGTGCCTGGCGATGCTGAAAGCGCCCCAAGCTCGAGCTTCTTCGGCAATGGCGGCCCGGATCTCGTCGTGCCCCCGCAAGGACACAGGCACGACCATTGATTCCCTGGGGTGGAGTCTCGAACACGACGCGAAGTCATACTTCCCAACAACAATCTCCAACTGCGCAGCCTGTACCAGCGGTTTTAAGACGAATGCGATGTCGTCCGCCCTGATCAGAAGTTCGGGCGCCAAGCGGCGGACCCGACGGATCAAAACGTCGGAGACGATGGAAAACAGGAGCGGCGAGAGCGGGCATCCCTGTCTGACCTCATGCAGCAATTTCGAACCCAGGACCTGTGGCGCTACAAGCACGAGCAGGGGAAATTGGGTGCCCGCACCATCGCTGAGGCCGAGGTGGTTCGCCTCCCAAGTGTTGGGCGGCACCAACATGCACATCGCCAACCACGGCCAGTAGGTGGGCACCCTATACGTTCTAATCTGCATCGTCGTCTCGGTCGTGCACTGCTGTACGGTCACCTTGCAGCACGTCGGCGCGTGGCTCCTGTTGTGTGAGCTCTCTTTCTTTCTTGAGGCCTTGGTGGGGAGGATAGAAGGATCTTGGAGGTGGTGCTTGTGTTCTTGGTAATGCGTCGTTTTGCCGCCGACCTCTGGCGCTTCGTCCACTGCGCCTCGTCGGGCCTGATGGGCGCTCTGGCTTGCTAGACTGAACTGTACACTAATCTCGGCTCTCTCTCTCTCTCAATCTCGTTGCTGGGCTTCCGATATGTAGCAGCGCGATGAGTTCTGTGATGCCCAGCTGGGGTGAGGGGCCTGTGGGGGCGAATATGGTAGGGGATGGCATAAACTCCAAGCGCCACCCCAAGGGCCCTCCCCCAGCTTCCCGTCAGTCGCCCCAACCTCCCGTCCACCATCATGTTTGAGCAGATGTGAACATCTTGCATTTCATTGTATTCTGGGTTAGTTGCGGGGTTGATCATGTCTTTCTCTCTCGTGCACGCCGATGCTGGGCAACGACATGCCTCCCGACACCGAGGCGATGCTACGCACGTAGTTCGCTCTCCTCCTGTCTCTATACATCCACACATTACTCTTCTTGATTTTCATCCTTCCTTGACAGCCGAGGTCTCTCCTATCATCAGCTTGAGGGCCGTGGGAGTCGGCGTCGATGCGGGCATGCATCAGCGCGTGCCCGCTTCCTGGCGCTTCGAGCTTTCTCTGCGGCTTGTCTAAGACAAGGATGAGGAAGGAGGGAGGGAGGGAGGGAGGGAGGGAGGAGGAGGAAGCAAGGAGGGAGGGAGGGAGGGGGAAAAGGAAGGGAGGGAGAAGGGAGGAGGAGGGATGTATGGAGGAGGAGGGGGGAGGAGGAGGGATCGAGGAGGGGAGGGCGGAAGGAGGGAAGAGTAGGAGGGGGGACAAGACAAGACAAGCACCGCCTGTCGGACAGGAACTCCGCCCGGCACGGGGTTCAGGGGAGGAGGGAGGGAGGGAGGGAGGGAGGGAGGGAAGAGGAGGGAGGCGATTGGAGGTGCAAGTGTCAGATCGACAGCCTGCCCTGTTTTTGAAAGCCTTCTGACGACATGTCAGCGTTCTGGGTGCCGATCGATCCGTTTTTGGAGCAGCATCAGCGGGATAACTTTACGCCTGGTGATGCGAGCTGATCGGGGTTACTTTTTATGCATGAATCGTCCGTGCGACCAGTGTGTGTGTGTGTGTGTGTGTGTCCGTCGATGGTCAAGAACAAGGTTGGAGGGAGGGAGAAGGGAAGGAGGGAGGGAGAGAGGGAGGACGGAGAAGACGAGGGGGAGGAGGCGGCGGCGGCGGAGGAGGAGCAGGAGGACAGGACAGGGCGGGCACCCTCTGTCGGGCAGGAACCCCGCCTGGCGCGGGGCCTCACTTCGCAAAATCCTCCTCGCGACGACCTCTTCCAGACGGCCCCACGCAATTGCATTAACAGTATGGGCTGGCCACCAGGGCCCGGGGGGAGGGGGCGATGGAGGAGGAGGAGGAGGGAGTGGGAGGAGGGCAAGGGGAGAGTGAGGGAAGGAATGAATCAGCAGGGGGAGGTGGCGGTGGAGAAGCAGGAGGAAGACAAGTAGGAGGGCACGGACGAGGATGATCATCATGATGAGGAGGGGGGGGAGCGGGAGGAAGAAGAGTACCAGAGCAAAGCCCAACATGTGTCAACGAAGCTGTAATGCACCCTCCCGCGCCAAGTCCCCTCCACATAAGTTCATGTTACAAGCAATCTTTCTCACAGCGCGAGCCGCTCCCTGGAAATACGACCGCCCACTGGGCTCAGAATGCAAGCGAGAGCCCATTTTTGAAAATGAGCCGCTTTCCACCTTGCGGGCAATCATGGATGCGACAAGGGGAGGATAGCATCAATTCAAGTTCCAGCGGCAACCTCGCTCTGAAAAGGAACCACTCTGGCATACGTAGAATTGCTGCACGTGATCGGTTTTGAGGAAGTCTCGGGCGAGAGTCCAATGTTGACAAGGAGCCGCCTTCCATCCTTGCAAGCGTTTCGCAATTGGAACGTTCTGGTATGAGCATCAAAGACAATCTGGGCCGCGAGCTCAAGTTTGAAAAGAAGCCGCCCTCCATCCGCGTAGCCGTTTCACATATCCATATGTATGGACATGATGTTGGAGCAAATCTAAAGCGAAAGCCACATTTCGAAAAGGAACTGCCCTCTATCTGTGTGACGGTTGTAAGAGAAAGAGTGTGCGCGGCGCCAAGACGAGCGCCCATGTGTGGCAACCAGCAGTGTTCCATCTGTGTATCTGCTTGACATTGTTATAGCCAAGTGTGCGCGGCGCCGAGACAATAACCTCATTTTGAAAACGACTTGCCCTCCATCCGTGTAGCTGTTGGACACTATTATCTTTAATTCCAAAGTGGTGAGGAAATCTCCAGCGAAACGCCCAGCCCACCTGAACAACACGCCTGGTGGTGCGATAGCGAAGAGTTGTAAGGAGGAAGGATTTAGGAGGATGGCAATGAGATAATTAACGACGACGACGACAGCGACAATGGCGGCAATAACAGCGACGAGGGAGATAAACATAACATAGTACGGGGAGGAGGTGTGGAGAGTCATCGTTGCCACCGCCGTCGCCGTCGTCGTCGCAACTTCTTGGTGCCGTGGGTCTCCACCTCTTCCCCAGGGCCAATTCTTCATCCCGAGTCGTTTTGCTTGTTGACGGTCCCAGGGTTTTACAACGCCAACGGGATCTGCTCTCCTTTGGTCCGTCCTGGACCCTCGTCGCGGCATTTCCAGAAGCCGACCCCCGGACTCATCCTGGGGTGCGCTCTGGCCAGAGTCTCGAGGGGAATCCAGCCGGTGGCAGCGAGAGGTGCCTTTGGAAAGACCGACATAGGTGCAGACTGCACTCAGAAACCTCGAACCTCAAATCTTGATCCTCGAGCCCAGAGATCTTCAAGGCGTAAGGCATCGGCGGCAAGGAGCCTCCCAGAAGCTTAAATGGGCGAACAATTACAAAACACCTGAACCTTCGAAACTTGATCCTTTAAATTCGATGCTCGAAACTCGGATTGGCGTGGAAAGAACGGGTCCTGAAGGAAACGGTCCTGAACCCGGAAGCTTTCCCGAGGACCAGCTTTCCATTCTGAACCGTATTTTGAATATTAGAGGCCTCCAAAATGGGGGCAGAATACATGGGGTCGGAGGATCGCGCCGCATCGCCGATGCATCGGCGATGCATCGGCGATGCACCAGCGACGTCGGCGATGCATCGGCGCCGTCGGCGTAGAGAAACCTGGGCTCCATATCGAGCCGCATCGCCGACGCATCGGCGGTGCGGCGCGATCCTCCGACCCCATCTGCTCGGACCCTACCCAGGAGGCCCAGCGCTGTCCTGGGGCCCTGGGAGGCCCCCGGGAGCACCGAATCTGGCGCCAGAGTCGTCCAGGACACGCCTCCCCTCGGGACACCCTTTTATTCATGGCGACTCGATGCTCGAAGCTCGAGGTCCTGCTTAGAATTAGGTCGGGCCTGTCCCCCTACAGGCGGATTTTGGATGTAAAATTTAATATAGCCAAGCAGTGCTCAAAAATAGCCCCAAATGCTCAAAACATCGTCCCCATACTATTTTTGATTATTACCTAACAGCTTTTGCTGATAGGTTTCTAGTGGTGTCAAAAGAGAGCAGCAGATGACTCCACAGGGGGGTCGGGGCGGGACCCGGGGAGCTGTGTCCGAACTCGTGTCCGAATGCGTTTTTCGCAAACAGTCACACACTTCGTGCTCTTCGACCTCCCAGAACTCCATTCCCGGGCCACATTCTGAATGCCTGGAGCCAACTGTAGGCCACTTCGTGCTCTTCGAGTTCCCAGAACTCCATTCCCGGGCCACATTTTGGATGCCCGGAGCCAACTGTAGGCCACTTCGTGGTCTTCGAGTTCCCAGAACTCCATTCCTGGGCATGATTTTGGATGCCCGGAGCCAACTGTAGGCCACTTCGTGTTCTTCGAATTCCCAGAACTCCATTCCCGGGCCACATTTTGAATGCTGAGGCAGGCTGAGGCTGAGGCAGGCTGAGGCTGAGGCCGAGGCTGAAGGCAGACTGAGGCTGAGGCTGAAGCAGGCTGAGGCTGAGGCTGAGGCAGGCTGAGGCTGAGGCTGAGGCAGGCTGAGGCTGAGGCTGAGGCCGAGGCTGAAGGCAGACTGAGGCTGAGGCTGAAGCAGGCTGAGGCTGAGGCTGAGGCAGGCTGAGGCTGAGGCTGAGGCAGGCTGATGCTGAGGCAGGCTGAGGCTGAGGCTGAGGCTGATGCAGGCTGAGGCTGAGGCAGGCTGAGGCTGAGGCCGAGGCTGAAGGCAGACTGAGGCTGAGGCTGAAGCTGAGGCTGAGGCTGAGGCTGAGGCAGGCTGATGCTGAGGCAGGCTGAGGCTGAGGCTGAGGCTGCAGGCTGAGGCTGAGGCAGGCTGAGGCTGAGGCCGAGGCTGGAGGCAGATTGAGGCTGAGGCTGAAGCAGGCTGAGGCTGAGGCTGAGGCAGGCTGAGGCTGAGGCTGAGGCAGGCTGATGCTGAGGCAGGCTGAGGCTGAGGCTGATGATGCAGGCTGAGGCTGAGGCAGGCTGAGGCTGAGGCCGAGGCTGACGGCAGACTGAGGCTGAGGCTGAAGGCAGGCTGAGGCTGAGGCAGAGGCAGGCTGAGGCTGAGGCTGAGGCAGGCTGATGCTGAGGCAGGCTGAGGCTGAGGCTGAGGCTGAGGCTGAGGCTCATGCAGGCTGAGGCTGAGGCAGGCGGAGGCTGAGGCCGAGGCTGAAGGCAGACTGATGCTCAGGCTGAAGCAGGCTGAGGCTGAGGCAGAGGCAGGCTGAGGCTGAGGCAGAGGCAGGCTGAGGCTGAGGCTGAGGCAGGCTGATGCTGAGGCAGGCTGAGGCTGAGGCTGAGGCAGGCTGAGGCTGAGGAAGGCTGATGCTGAGGCAGGCTGAGGCTGAGGCTGAGGCTGTGACTGCGACTGCGACTGCCGTTGCCACTGCGACTGTCATCGCGAATGCGACTACGACTACGAGAACAGCAGAATTCTACAACTGGATTCTCATCTGAATCTTAAGGGGAATGCTTCCAGACATGCTCCTACACATCGCTCTTAGGTTGCTTTGCCGGATTTTGGATGTAAAATTTAATATGCCAAACAATGCTCAAAAATAGCCCAAAATGCTCAAACCATCGTCCCCAGACTATGTTTTGATTATCTTCGAGTATTCCTCCTGCAGCAGTTCACGCCCGACTTAAGCCTAGAACGCCCGAGCAGGGCCCAGAGAGCGCCCCCCCCCAAGGCCTCGACGCTCCGGGCCTCCGAGCCTCCGAGCCTCGAGCGTTCGAGGCCCGAAGTAGTGCTGCGCGCGGAGTCCGCTCCTCGAGGCTCGCCCCCCCGAGGATAGAGGCTCGACCCTCGAAGCTCGATCCTCGAAGACTCGATGCCCGAAGCTCGAGGCTCGACCCTCGAAGCTCGATCCTCGAAACCTCGGTGCCCGAAGTCCCTCGACCCTCGAAGCTCGATCCTCGAAACCTCGATGCTCGAAACTCGAAGCTCGACCCTCGAAGCTCCATCCTCGAAACCTCGATGCCCGAAGTCCCCCCCCCACGAGCCAACCTCGGCGGCACCCTCGCTGCCGCCCGCGGGCGCCCTGGGCTTGACCCCAGCCACGCCAAGGGCGATGTTGGTTCATGGCGATGTTGGGAAGCTGGCTTCTGCGACGACGACGCGAGCAAGCCTTTCCCACAGCTGGATTGGCCACGAGCCTAGAAGAATAACAAACTCCATAAACATAAACTTTTGGCGCTCCGCGCGGAGCGCCAACAATTTATGTTTATTGGACGCCGAAACTTGCACTTTTTTGGACGGCGGACTGCCAACACCCTGAAGGGTTGGGCAGTGGAAACCGCGACGGACGAGCCGCAGAGGCAAGGACGCGCAGGGGTACCCCGAGGACATCCGTGCGACCTCACTCTGAGTTTTGACCGTAAGAGACGCCAAGCCGCCCGACGTCGCGCGCCGCGCCCCGCGGTGGGCGGCCCTCTCCGCGCCCTCGCGCCGACGCCTCGGCGAAGGGCAGCCCCGCGGCCGGCGACGCGCGGAGCGCGAACCGCGGGCACACTCGCGCCCCCGCGGGCGACCTGCCGTTGAAGAACAGCTGCGCCCGCTTCCCGGGAGCTTCTCCTCAAGCAAGCTTACCGTCAAAAACCACCAAAGAGCTCATCGTTCAAGAAGCTTCTCATGAAACAGAAGTTGGCCAGCTTCCCAGAAGCTTCGGAAAACAAGCCTTGGCCACTTTCTTCTGCTGTTCACGTTGGAGGACGGGGCGTGCTCAAAAGGAACTGGGCCAGCTCTCCGACACTATGGGTTCAGAAACGCTGGCCCAACTTTTCGGGAGGAGGTTTCTGAATTAGCTGCTCGATTGTGGAAAAGCGTCCAGAAACCTCGCCCCACGGAGGTTTCAAAAAGTAACGCTGTGCACTGCACAATGGGGGCTTGTGGAACCCCCCAACTGTGCTCTGCATCTCTCCGCTCCGGCTCTTGTCCTATCGTCGACGATGCTCGTTCGATGCTGCACCGTAGGCAATTTGGCCCGAAAAGCCCCTAGGGGGCGGAACGCGTGTATGGATACAGTCAGAAGCTGCCTGACCTCAGCTCTTGATGATGAGCTTGCTAAGCTTGCCCGCCTCCGCACATTTGGCAGGTCACAGAAGAGTCCAGTCGCACCACAATCCGCGAGATCATCAGCCCTGTCCTTCAGGGACAGTCCCGCGGGAGACTCCACCTTCTGCCGTACTAGGCATTGACCAAGCTCATCAACCAGGCCTCAGTTCTTCTCGCTTGAGACTCGGTCTAAAACAAGAAGCTCCATCCTCGAAAATTCGATGCCCACTGCCTCCACGTCCTCCCCGCCGGGCCGGCCGCGGCGGCGCCCTTGCTGCCGCCCGAGGGGCGCCCGGGCCTGGCGGTAGCGGCGGCACTGCTCCAGCAGGAGGGCCTCCTGCGAGGCGAGCTTCGACGGACGACGAGGACGACGACGACAACAGAGGACGATCGACGATCGACGATGACGGACGAGGCACAACGACGACGATCGAAGACAATCAACGAAGACGACGAGCGACGGACGACGTCGATGGGCGAGGACGATGGGCGCCCATCGACGACGACGACGACGATCGACGATAACGGACTGGGGACGACGACGACGGCGACGATGATCGACGACAATCGACGACGACAGCGAGGACGACGACAGCGGACGAGGACGATGGACGGCAGGGACGACGATCGAATGTCGACAAGGACGACGATGAGGCCAAGGACGGACGAGGACAATCGGACGACCTGGCATCTGACGTCGTGAAATAAACAAAACGTCGTGAAAGATTGCGGCCAGAGCTCTGGGCGAAAGCGCCCGTCGTGACTTCTTTCACTACCCAGGCATCTGCCGTCGTAAATCGGTCTCAAGATCATTCGACCATCCCTGGGGCATGCTTCTGGGCCTGGGCTTTTTCTTTCAGGACGAGGTTTCGAAGCCTTCTTTTCAGGACGAGGAGGAAGCGCAGTGGTATGCTGAGGAGGAGTGGGGGGAGAAAGAAGGGGATGAGAAGGAGGAAGGGGTGGAGGAGGCGGGGGAGGAGGGGCTGGAGGTGGAGGAACAGTGGACGTGGTGGAGGAAGAGTGGACGTGGTGGCGAGAGAGGGGCTGGAGGTGGAGGAGGTGAGGGAAGGTTGTCTCCTAATAGTCCCAGGGTCATGTCTGGGCCTCAATATGCCCGTCATTATGGAAACACGGGCCGCCGCCCCCACCGGCGCGCTTCGGCACGGCCCGTGCGGGAGCAAGGGTGTGAGGGAGACGGGGCGGCGCTTAGGGAGAAAGGGGGGGAGGAGGAAGGCTGGGGAGGAGGAGGGCGAGAAGGATGGGGAAGGATACGGATGCGAGGTATGCTGGGGACGAGCAAGAAGAGGGAGGATCATGGGGGTGATGATGATATGAAGAGGAGGAGGAGGAGGAGGAGGAGGAGGAGGAGGAGGAGGAGGAGGAGGAGGAGGAGGAGGAGGAGGAGGAAAAAGAGGAGGAGGAGGAGGAAGAGGAGGGAGAAGGAGGGAGGAGGAGGGACGAGGAGGAGTCATGATGACGATGCTGATGTTGCTGCTGTCGATGATGCTGGTGATGCTGATGATGCTGGTGAAGATGGTGGTGATGATGATGTTGGTGATGGTGGTGAAGATGACGGAAATCATGATGATGATGGCGATGATGACGACGATGATGATGGGTATGGTGATGATCGAGACCGTGTTACATATAGCGTCGCGAGGTCGACTGAGGCAGGAACGAGAGACCGAGATCCCCCTTACCACCCCCGCCCGCCACGCATCGCCACCATGCAAAGATGATTGGGCCCTGGCAAGGCGGTGCCCGCACGGCACAACACTCGAAGCGGCCATAACGCTCAGCCTCACCGACGCAGTAGCCTGACCACATGGGGCAGCACCGCGCGCGAAGGGAGGGTCAGACGGAAAGGCAGAAACCTCAGAATTACGCGTAGTTCTTTGCCTCGGGCACACAATGCGCGTCGAGGTGGCAAGCGCAGGTGACCTGATGTTGGCACAGCGCGCGAGAGCGCGCGCACGGCGAGCAAGCCAAGCGTCCGCAAGGGGCGGCCAACCAGACAACATTGCGGCGCTGGCCACGCCTTCTTGCTGGCGCAGGAGGCGTCCCGCACGCGGGCCAGGCGGCAGGAGGCGGGGCGCGCAACGGCCAGGACAGTACATGGAGAGAAACAGGATTCCCCCGCTCCTTCCGCGCCCGAGTCCCCGGGGTGGGCCTCATCGGCCTCGTCGCCAGAAGGGTCCGACGGATCCCACATCGTGCCAAAATGGCCGTGGAGCCTCGGCACAGACCACGAAGAAAACAAAGAGGAGCGCCCAAGCAACATATCCTCGGGGCGGAGGGGGAAGAAGATGAGAAGACATCGCCAACCTTTTTGACCCGTGGGAGATGGCAGTCTGCCGAAGCCTCCCTGAATAAATATGCAAGACCTATGCTGGTGCACATGTACTGAATACGTGTTGACCTATTACTTTCATAATGTCCTGACCTTATGCTGGTACCCCTCTTCTCATATCTCTGCCGCTCACGGGGCAAGAGGGATGACGGCCTCCGCGCGCGCATCAGGCGAGCTCCAGCCAAGCGATCTCAAGGCCGCCTACGTACAACGGCCTTGGGACCTCGAGCCGGGCCCCCCCCCAGGGGACCGTCAGCTAATCTGGTGATCCTCCTCCTCCTGCAATTGCTGCCGTTGGTGTTCTCGTCGGGCTGGCGCGCTATCATGAGGCCGCCGCGGGGGCTCGTTCCGTACGCGCCGCGTCCGATGCACCTGGCCATTCCGCTACCGTTCGTTGATGTCGTCCTGGCTGTTGCGCTTGAGACATGCCCTGGTGGCGTCGACGGCCTGCTGCACCTCGGCGTCCGACGCGCGGTGGAGCTTGAAGGGCTTGGCGTCGTCATGGGCGGCGATCCGCTTGACGCTGGTGCCGATGGAAGACTGCCTGCTCTGGTTCATCGTGCCCTTGCCCTGGTCCGGCACGCCCTTGCTGGGCCGGCTTCTCGCCGTGCAGTGCTGCCTCCCGAGCTTCCTGCGCTCCTTGCCAATCGGCGCGATTGCTCGGCACCGCGCGCGCCTCCGCGACCTGCCGACAAGGAAGAGGGAGTGCCTGAGGTGCGACTGCGGCCCGCGCTGCTTGCGTTGGTCACGCGTGCCCTCGCGCCTGCCGCCTGGCGCCTCCTGCCTGTCGGTCATTAGCGCGCCGTCGGCCATGGCAGCGTTGACGTTGGCGATGTGGCGCGCGAGCTGCCCGTCCTTCCTGGGCAGCTCGTGCGCGGCGCGGTTCGCAGCGAAGGTGGCGGCGTGAACCTTGGTGCCGAGGTTTGCCATGACGTCCACCCAGTCGATGCCGTGCTTGTGGATGCCTGCTGCCGCGCGGCCTTCAGCGTGCTGGAACTGCGCGGGCCCCGCGCCGCCGAGGTCCTCGATCTTGCCCCAGATGCGGAGCAGCGCGCTCCGATTCGGCCTGCAAGCCGCTGATGCTGCCCACGCGATGCCCTCCTCGAGGCCCAGCGCCAGGGGGAGGTGGTCGGTGTGGAGCGCCACTCGCGGGACTGCGACCTGCAACGCCCGCCATTCCTGCAGCGCCGCCCGCCCGCAGCTCCGCTCTCGGGGACGTCTGCGCAGGGCTTGGCAGCGCGCCGTATGTCCGACCACTGCCTGGCCGTCCCTGATGGCGCTCAAGCCCCGTCCAGCTCTGGCTGCTGCATGCCAGTGCCACTTGTGGTACCAACTGCCGTTGCAGTTGACCGCGCCCGTGACGATCTCGTTGGCCCCCCCATGCTGCATCGACACGGGCCAGGGCCGTCTCGCCTGCCTGGGCAAGACGGCCACCTTCTACGCAGCGAGGCCTTAGTCCGGAACGGGTCCGCCGACGACGCCTGTCTGACCTCTTGCAATCAGGGCTCGTCCGCCGACGGGTCGTGGTTGTCTGTGTCGCTGCGCCCCAATGCCGATGGTGTAGCCCCCCGTTGCCGCCGCGGGCCTTGCGGCAACCATTCGATGCACATCCATGTCGTTGCAGTCGGCGCTGTGACCAATGCGCTCCAATGGCCGGCGATCGCAATGCTCCGCTGGCGGTGTCCGACAGCTTCCATTTCGTGCGATTCGGTCTGGGCCTGATGAGCTCGGCGATGGGCTCCAGCCAGTGCCCCATCGGGCCCCCTGGGAAGCTGGCGTGGGGCATCAACAAGGTCGGTGCCTTTAGACCGCGTGGCCCAGCGAGCCGCGCGCGCACCCCGCCGTAGTGAGACTTTAACCGCGGCAGGAGGGCCCCGATCAAGTCGCGGTCCTGCCCCTGCCTTGGTGCGCCAAGATGTCGCTGATAATGAGATCCGCCCAGTTGCCTTGGCTGCCATGGGGTCTCCTCGTGCTGGCCCAGAGACAGCCTGCCAAAGGTGCGTGGCGGCGCGAAGGGCTGCCGACGTTGCCGCGCCCGCTGTCGGACCCCGCCCCCGATCGCACTTTCCGTGCCGCAGTAAGCGGTGCCCCCGTCGCGCCCAATCCGGGATCCATGGCTGTTAGTGGCGCCTCCCTCGAACCCTTGCCGGGTCCCGTGTCCAGCGGGCGCGACTGTCTTACGCGTCTGAGGCGTCTGCGCGCAACCTTCGGGCGCCGCTTCAAGGTTCCGAACTTGAAAGGCTTGTCCGCGCGCGCCCCCATCCCGATCGGGTTCGGCCCCGACGCGCATCTGGAGCCGAAGCCCCCAGGGCGCGCTGCTGCTGCCCTCCCCGCCGCGGGGCCCGAGGCCGCGATGGTCGCCTTGTCGGCTGCCGGCGTGAGTAGTTGCTGGTCCTGAAGCGTGACCGCCAAGTCCGTCAGTTGCTCGACTGCCCAGGGCGCGACCTTCTCGGTGCCCCCGATCATGGCCTTCGTGAGATCGTCGGCGTAGATGCCGTGGCTGCGACCTGCAGCGGCGCCTGCTGATGCCGCAGAACGCGCTGCTGCGTGGGCTCCATCGCGACGAGCTGGAGCGGGCCCATCGCGGAGACGCAGCCTGGGGTGACTCCTTGAGCGGGGCGCGTGCCTGATGAGCAGGCGCCTGCCCGTGCGATCCTCCGCGGGGCCTGGCGCGCCATGGGCGCGGGCCAGAGAAAATTGAGCGGGTGGACCGCGGCGTGGGCGGCCGCGGGCTGCAGTTGCCGCCTGGCCTTGTCGGCGCAATTCTCGATGTCCACGGGCGCGACGACGTATGAGTGCAAGTCGCCCCTCGCTTCGCCATGAGCGGGCTGCGCGCGCATGGTCGATGCGATGGGCGCAGGGGCGCAATGGGTGGGCGCCCGCGCTCAAGACTGGAGCCCTTCGCCGCCTGCTCCACGACATCTGGGCGGAGAGCGGGCCCCAGTGCCGTGGGTGGAAGGCGCCTGGCCCAAGGCTCCTTGGAGAGGTCCTGCATGCCCCGCGCAGCTGCTGCGCCGTCATGGGCAGCGCAGTAAGGTCTAGACCCACCGTAGCCCTCTGATCACATCGTCCTCCATCTTGATGTCTGGGGCCTCCGTGTCGCCGCTGCTTTCTTCTCCAGCTCACATGCCCGCCCACTTGGTCTGGGGGTGCTGAGCGACGCCCCCAGATGCTGACAGCTTGGCGCCGCTGTAGTTCGTTTGTGCCAGCGGTCGGCCCGTGGGCTTCGTAGTGGCGTGGGTGCGCTTCGGGCGGGGCTTGGCCTTCTCCCTGGCCCGGGCCGCGATGCTCTGCTGCCGCGCGATTGGTGGGCCCTCTTCGATGTGGGCTAGGGCGCCGAGCTGCGACTCGAACCCACCTGGGGCGATGTCCCTGGCCTCCGCGCTGGTGAGCGCGTGGACGTCCGCGAGCGCCTGGGGCACGGTGCTCTCGATTTCGGTCCTGACAGTGGGCTCCTTCATGCTGAGGTCCCTGCCCATCGCCCTGTGCAGATTCCTCCAGGCGCCTGCGGTGGGGCCACCGTGTAGTGGCGCTATGGGAGGACACGAGTCGCCCGCCGCCTGCTGGAGTACTCGCAGTGCCCTCGCCGGCGGTGAGGGCGTAGGTCCGGGGCGTGGGGGAGCGCCTCCGCCTACTTGTCGCCGAGCGTACTTGGTTCTTTCCGCCCTGCCACATTGCGACGCCGCTTCTTCCTCCGCATCATACAGCGTCGTCAACCATAGATCGGCTCCACTGGCAATGCCGCTAACCGTGCCGTCGACCATCTGTTGCCTGTCCACCCCAGGTAGGCGGCTGGACTCCGTAAACTGCGCCTTGCGGTCGAGCCGATGGTTCTCGCCAGCACGTTCGAACTCAGTCGGCGGCGTTGCGGGCTTGGCATTGGGGAACTCCTAAAGGGCCCTCGCTTGCAGCGCGTAGTGTTCCTGCGGATGCGCAGGTAGCCGCGCGCGAATGGGGTAGCGCACCTGCGCGGGTTAATTGCCCATCCACAGGCTCGGGGGTAGAGGCCAGCGGGGCGAGGCACTTGCTGACCCACCAGTAGTCGAGCAGAGTGTAGGAGTTCGCCTTCGCCCTGCACGTGCCTCGTTCACTATGAGTGGGTGCGCTCGAAGCGCGCTGGATGATCCCGTCGGTGAGCAGGATCACGGGTGCCATGTTCCAGTCTCCACCGATGACGAACGGCTGGCCATGATGGACCAGGGTCTACGCCACCCTCATGGGCCTGCGCACGTTGACCAAGCTCAGGCGCTCCGAATTGTTGGGACAGACCGAGCCCGCGATGAAGCCTCCCTTCATGGCGTAGTCGGTGTGGACCAGCGCCGCGTAGCCTGGGACCACCTCGAAGCCTTCTCCGAAAGGTGCTCCCACGATGGTGGTGGCTGCGACGTGAGCCTGCGCAGGAACTCCCACTCCGCCCATCAGGCGCTCTGCTCTTTGGCCTGTACGAACTGGCCACCGACGAGCCTCGGCTCCTGGAAGGCCACGACGTTGGCCTGGAGGTCGCCACAGCTGAGCAGCTACTTTGCCTGCGTCCACGAGCTGCCGTTGAACGTGGCGAACTCCGTCCGCTGTGCTCCTTGACCTGGTCGTGCCCCAAAAGGACCTCGCACTCCGTGCTAAACCTGCTGCTGGGGCTGCAGCGCTGCCGGGCTGGGCTAGCCGTCAGCCGGCGCGGCCAATGGGGCGGGTGAGCGTGGTGCGCTGAGAGCTCGCCCATGCTGTCCTGCTGCGCCGCCGCCGTCACCGCTCCCAGCCAGGGCAGCGGTAGCAGCATCCTGCTTCTGCTCACTGCCCATGTGGTGGAGCTTGTCCTCGATGGCCGCCAGAAGGGCAGGGGCGTTGCCTTGCTGGGCGCACAGGTCCGTTGTCCGTTTGTCGGGGAGGAGCTTGATCTGCGCCAGGGCGTCGGTGAGGTCTGGCGCGGATGAAGCAGCGTCGGTGGCGGCAACCTGCACGATGCGACCTCTGGCACTTGTGACGTCGACCGGCAAAGGGACCACCTCCTGCTCGACGATCTTGTGAATCCGCAGAGCTTGGTCCGACGCGCTGCCACTGCCCAGCGGGTCCACGCTCACGGTCAACCCGCGCTTCCACGGAGATGGTGTTGATGGACCGCGAGCGCCAGGAGCGCGAGCCATCGCCCAAGATGGAAACGCCGATCCGTGGTGAGCCTCGAGCCGCAGGACAACTCCACGTCGTTCGTCGTTTTGTAGGGAGGTCGGGGGTGGGTTCGGCGCCGCGCCCGCCGATCTTGCCCGCGGCGGCGGCGAAGACGGCGGTGCCACGCAGGGGAGGCGGATCGCGGAATCATGCGCGCACTGCCGCGAGGTGCGAAGGTGCGCTGGGAGCGGCGAAGGCAGCGCAACGGCGACTGACACCGCGCCAAAGGAACTGACCCCGGCGGCCACCGATGATGATGCTGCTGATGATGATGGTGATGATGGCGATGATGATGCTGCTGATGATGATGATGCTGAGGATGCTGACGCTGCTGCTGGTGATGATGATGTTGATGATGTTGGTGACGACGATGATGATGGTGATGCTGATGATGATGGTGGTGATGATGATGGTGCTGAGGACGGCGATGATGTTGCTGATGGTGATGATGGTGGTGGTTGTGGCGATGGAGATGATGGTGGTGGTGATGATCGCGGTGATGGTGATGGTGATGGTGATGACGTTGGTGCTGCTGATGGTGATGCAGACTCTGATGATGATGGTGATGCCGATGATGATGACTATGATTAGGTTGGGCATGTCCTCCTACAGGCGGTCGTTGGATGAACAAAAATCAAGCGATATTCAAACATCGCCAAGCAACGTCGAAACGCCGTTCCCAGACTAGTTCTTTGACTATTTTTGAATATTCCTCCTTTAGCGGGACACGCACGACTTAAGACTATGATGATGGTGATGCTGCTGCTGCTGCTAATGCTGATGATACTGATGATGCTGATGCTGCTACGGCAGCTGCTGCTGATGATGACGGTGATGATGATGATGATGATGATGATGATGATGATGATGATGATGATGATGATGATGATGATGATGCTGCTGACGATGCTGCTGGTGATGGTAACGATGATGATGACGCTGCCGCTGACGATACTCATACTGATGTTGCTGCTGCTGCTGATGATGCTGGTGCTGCTGCTGATGATGATGCCTGGGATGATCAGGAGGAGGAGGGGGAGGACGAGTAGGAAGAGGAGGAGGGGGACGATCAGTAGGAGGGGAAGGAGGAGAGGGAAAAGGAAGAGGAGGAGCATGATGACGATGACGAGGATCACGTGGTCGATGCGGGTTATGGTGAGGAGGCACCGCCTGCGCGACTGGCGCGTCGAAGAGCTGCAACTGCATGTGCGGGTGGATCTGAGAGGCGCCCCCGCTGCCGAAGCAATTCCTTTGCAAGGGCGGAGGTGGGGGCGGCCGCGCCTCCTCAAGGGCGAGTGGGAGAGGGCCGAAGAGTGGGCGAGGAGGGGTGAGGCGGGAGGGGGAGGAAGAGTGGCGGTGGGAGAGGATGGAGTGTACGACCGGGAGGGAGGGCGGGAGCGCGGGAGGGAGGAAGGGTGGTGGGAGGTGGGGGGACGGAGGGATGCTGATGCTGGTGATGACGATGAGGATGTTGATTAGGAGGGGGAGGAGGCGGAGGAGGAAAAAGGGGAAGAGTGGGTGGAGTAGCCGTAGCCTGAACCGCGCCGATCCATCCGAAGAGAAGACGGCGCACGGACTTTGCAGGGTGGAGGGCCCCGCCACGATCGAGCAATGCAGGATGGAGGGGGGTGGAGGGAGAGGAAGGAGTGGAGGTGGAGAGGTGGAAGGGGTCACGCCGCCCCCTTCCCCCCCTCCCCTCCTCGTCCTCTTCCTCCTCCTCCTCCTCCCCCCCCTC